GTGGGGGGGAAAGAAGCCTCTGGAAGCTTTAGTTTCCTCATCCCACAAACAAAGATCAGGTACCATCCTCCCAGGGCTGCTAGAAGGAACAGGAGACAGATGGTATTTGACTATAAGCTCAATAAATGCTAAAGCCTTGTTAGAATTGTGCTTGTTTTCTGAGCAAGGGAAGCCAAGCTTCCACTCACCCGGCACTGCCCTCAGGCTGCAGAGGGCCCTGAGGGGCACGGTCTGCAGGTGTCCCAGGTGGGAGCCTCTGGGCAGGGGAGGGAGTGTTATTTACAGTCAGCACAGCTGGGCAACCCACCCCTGGCCTGGGGCTCACCATGACAAGCCAGCTGGACCAGTCCCCAGCTCCAAAGCCCTCCAAGGCCTCAAGACTCAGGGACAACTTTTCATGGGAGTCTGGGGGCTACTAGATTGGGTGTGGGCCCTCTGGGCACAAAGCAGGGCTGCGGGCCCTTGGAGCCCCAGAGGAGAAGACAAGACAGCAAATCTGTTCCTACCTTCCATCCTTCCGAGTCCTTCCCTCCCTCCCCTCCTTTTAAAGAAATATATATAAATTTTTAAAAGATTTATTTAGAAGCACCCAGGTGGCTCAGTCGGGGAGGCATCTGCCTTCAGCTTGGGTCCTGATCTTGGGGTCCTTGGATCGAGTCCCTCATCAGGCTCCCGGTTTCAGCAAGGAGTCTGCTTCTCTCTCTCTCTCTACCCCTCTACCCACTCATGCGCACTCTCTCAAATTAAAATATCTTTTAAAAAATAGACTTCTTTAGGGGTGCCTGGGTGGCTCAGTGGGTTAAAGCCTCTGCCTTCGGCTCAGGTCATGATCCCGGGGTCCTGGGATCGAGCCCCGCATTGGGCTCTCTGCTCAGCAGGGAGCCTGCTTCCCCCCCACCTCATCTGCCTCTCTGCCTACTTGTGATCTCTGTCCATCAAATAAATAAATAAATAAAATCTTAAAAAAAATAGACTTCTTTATTTATTTTGCAGGGGAGAGAGAGAACGAGACAGGGAGAAGCAGGCAAAGAGGCAGAGAGAGAATCTCAGGCAAACTCTGTGCTGAATGCAGAGCCTGATCCGGGGCTCAGTCTCATGACCCTAAGATCATGACCCAAGCCAAAACCAAGAGCCAGATGCTCAACTGACTGAGCCGCCCAGGCGCCCATCTCCACTCCTTCTCACACCATTCTCGACCACCGCCTGTCATGCATAAACACTTTAAGGCACTGGAGACAGCCCTGGTGAACCACAGCTGCCAGGCTGGAAATACAGTCACTTATTCACACTTTAACTCACTGGTTCACTTTCTTCTATTTATTGATTCATTCCCGCAACAGAATTGTTCTGAGTTCTTGCAATATGGGTGGTAGGCAAAGTTCTGAAGCCCAACAACCTTAATTTCCTTTTTTTCTTATAAGACTTTATTTATTTATTTGACAGAGAGAGAGATAGCAAGAGAGGGACCACAAGCATGGGGAAAGGAAGAGGGAGAATCAGACTTCCCGCCGAGCAGGGAGCCCGATGCAGGGCTCGATCCCAGGACCCTGGGATCATGACCTAAGCTGAAGGCAGAGGCTTAATGTCTGAGCCACCCACGTGCCCCCCCAAATGCCCTTAATTTCAACCCTTGTTCTGCCACTTGCTAGCTGTGTGACCTTGGGCCAGCGGCTTTCCCTACCTGAGCCTCAGTTTCCACATCTGTAAAATGGGACAGTGCCTCACAGGATTGTGGGTGGAGAGACTAACTGAGCTCTCTCCTCCACCCGTGAGTTCCATCTCAGTGAGGTCCCTGCTCACCCGTTCAGCCCCACACACTCTCTGCACACAGTCCCGGCCCAGGCTGGGGCCTCTGCTCATTGAACAAATGTGAACACAGTGCCGACCGCCTGGCTCAGGGTCATGGTGGCTTACAGCTGCGGAGACACACTGCCTGTGGTTTGGATTTGGGCTCTGCCTCTTTCCTCATCTGCAAAATGCCCATAAAAGTCATACCCACCGCTCTGGTCTGATACGAGAGGAACAGAGGTGGTGTGTGGTGCATGTGAAAAAATACATAGTCATGGGGCACCTGGCTGGCTCTGTCAGAGAGCAGATGACTCTTGATCTCAGGATGGTGAGTTCGAGCCCCTGCTGGGTATAGAGCACTAAAAAATAAATACACTTAAAATATATACAATATATTTTATATTATATTTTATATTATATTTTATATTATATATAATATAATATATTATATATGTGTATATGTATACGTATAGTCACTGTCGGGATGAAGGGGGTGTTGGTTAGAAGCAAGTTGGGCTTCTGGAAGGATGGACCCCATTGGGTGGCCTGCCCAGGACTCTGGCCCCTTGCCCAGCAGTTCCCTACCCTACCCGCCCAGCCAGGACATGGTGCCTTCCAGTCTGATGATAGGGCGGCACCTGCTGTTACAAAGCTGGACCTGCAGCCACAGGCCCACCCTCTTCCTTGAGGGCCTCACGCTTCCTTTGCAGCGTTGCCTTCCCGCTCTTCCAGTCCGTGCTTCTCCACCGGGGAGGAGGGAGGTGAGGCAAACGTCATCCAGATGACTCTGTCACTACCCGTTTAGACCAAGCCACCGCTCTCACCCCCACCCCCGTTCATCAGGATTAGAGGCAGGCTCTGAAGCTTCCCAGCCCCCTCCTGCGCCCTCACCCTTGCCTTCTGGTCCCAGCACAAGTGCAAGGGAAAGTTTTGTTTTGTTTTTCAGTAAGCTCTACGCCCGACCTGGGGCCTGAACTCACGATCCCAAGATCAAGAGTCACAAGCTCAGGGTGCCTAGCTGGCCCAGTAGGAAGAACATGCAACTCTTGATCTAGGGGTCTTGAGTTCAAGCCCCACAATGGGTGTAGCGGTTATGTAAATAAATAAATAAATAAACAAACAAACAAACTTAAAAACAAGAGTCACATGCTCTACCCACGGATCCAGCCAGGCGCCCCTACAGGAACTATTTTCTTAAAGGTAGGTCTGGGCATGTCGCTCTCTGCTCACAATTTCCAACAGAACCTATCTTAGAATAAAATCTGAAGACCTCATCACCGCCTGCCAGGCCTCACATGATGAGGTCCCTGCCACGTCTCCAGCCACTATTTCGTGTGCACATGCACACATTGTCTTCCCCCAACCGGAGAACGAGCTCCTTCAGGGTGGGCCCTTGTCTGTCTTATCACGGCTCCAACTGAGGGTCTTGCCCAGAGCACACCGTAGGTGCCCAGTAAACACCTGGTGAGTGAATGAACACTCCAGCCAGACTGAAGGACTCTGTTCCTTCTTCTGGAATACTCCCTAGCCCTGTTCCCTTGCCTTTGTGTGGCTCACTCTCTGGTCACATTTTAGATACCACTTCCTGCAGGAAGCCCTCCCGGATCTCTTCTCCCCAGAGTGGGCTGGACGCCCTCCTTCAGCCCCAGCATTATTCTGTATGCCTTACTGTTGCACTTACCAGAAGGTATAGTAACAGTCGTCTTCCTTTCTTGCCTCCCCCACCAGGCTGGGAGCTCCTGGAGGATGGAGTTACGGCTACTCCCTCTGGATCCCCTCTGCCTCAGAGGGATTCCGTGGAGTGGATCCCTCAGTTCTGTGCACCTCAGCTCCCTAACCTGAGCTTCCTCACACAGGCACCCCCGAGGATGTCGCTTCCCTGGTACAGAGCAAACGGCCAGTACAACTTGGCTACTAGGGTTTGTAGGAAACTAGCAAAATAGTTGTTAAATAAGTACATGAACATTTAGCGGTTTTGTTTTTCAGAGAGGGAGGGGGTAGGGGCAGAGGGAGAGGGAGAGAGAGAAACTTAAGCAAGCTCCATGTCCAGCACAGAGCTGATGTGGGGCTTGATCTCACGACCCTGAGATCATGACCTGAGCTGAAATCAAGAGTCAGACGCTTCACTAATGGAGCCCCCCAGGGGCGTTCAGCAATTTTAACAAGAAATCCTGGAGACGTGCTTCCTCAGCTGAGTTGATTAAGCATTCCACACACCGCCATCCATCTTAGACCTACACACAACCTCACACACATGCCAGTGACCCCGCTTCCCGCGGTAACGTGACTGCCTCCATGAGGCAGGGACCCCCACTCACCCCTTGTATCCCTATGGGCCTGGTATGCAGTAGCTGCTCAGGAAATAAGGCTCTTATGTATCTGATCATACATGAAACCCCATTACCTTGCGGAGCCCCTCCCGTGCCCTCTCGACCGACAGCTCCCCTTATCTCCCATTTTGGGTCACCGGGCTCTGTCTGGGGCCCCGAATTTCCCCACCTGGTGTCCGGTCTCCCGGGGACCCACACACTGGCCCAAGAGCCAGGATGGCGGCAGACAACTCGCTGGGCCTACCCGTCACACTGGGGCAGCCTGATGCCACGCAGGTCGCCCTGGGACAGGACGCCAGCCAGGTGGCAGAGGGGAGGGCGGATTTTCACGGTGCCGGCTCCTTCTCGTCTTTTAGATCATACTTTGTGACCCGCTCAGAGGTCTTTCCCACCCACCGTATCAGAAAAGCTCCGTGCCTCCTATCACCTCCCATCCCCGCACCCCATGTCGGGTCCTACACAGCACTCGTTCCATCACTGTTCAAAATCATCTTTATTGATTCATGTATTTATTTAACCCTTGCCTTCACCCACACCCACCGCCCCGAGGATAAGCTCCAAGAATGCTGTGCTGTCTTTCCTAGTACTCTGCTGAGCCTGGCGTGTGGAAGATGCGACATTAGGATTTGCTGTAGGATGAACTAGTCTCTTTCCCTGCGCAGGTGCCTTAAGGCGAACAAAGATAAGTAGGAGGAAGGAGGAGACCTTTGAGCGTGTACTTGATGGCTGCTTCAGATGTCCTTGATCGTTCTAATGCTGTTCCTTGGCTCGGGTACAAAGACTTCTGCTTGGCTGGGGAAGGGGGGTTGGGTTTTGGGAATCTCAGTTCGGAGCTCTCCAGCCCGCTGTGCCAACCCCTCCTCCAGGGCCAGGCTCTTCTAGTTACTCTGCCTGCCCGCAGACACAGGAGGAGAGGGCTTTGAGCGAGCCGATGACTGTGCCCCAAGCTGAAGACCTTGAGGTCACAGCCTTCAGGGGATTCCCCTTGGCTTCAGGAGCCTCCTGGGGGACCTGTGGACTGACTAGGGAGGAAGCTGGGGCCACCGTCCCTCTGCGGGCTGGCAGGGCCCCCCCGGGGTGGGCCAGGAGTCCCCCACCCACAGGGGCCTCCTGAGTCAGGTGGGGCGGGTTTTCGCCACAGAACAAGATATAGGTCTTCATTGGAGGAGTGACAGGTCCTAGATGAGGACCGGAGGCTCGGGGGGGCACCGGGGGTTCCACCAGGGAGAGCTGTTTGCCACGAGCACAGTCGATAACAAAAGTGAGGTGAGCGGCAGGGATGGCCTTCGGATGGCAGGCAGGCTTCCCACCTGGAAGGAAGGAGACCGAAGGCTTGCGTCAGCACAGTCCGGTGTGGTTTCCTTCATTCACCTGTTCCTTCTCGAGGGTTTCACTCCCCAACTGGCTGACACACAAAGATGGGAAGAGAGTGGGGTCCAAGAGCATGGATTTCAGCACGAGGGAGACCTGAGTTGAAATCCCGGCTTTCCCCTACTCAGCCGTCTGCCTTCCGGAACAGAGCCCTGGGGATCAGAGCTTCTGTGTGTAGGAATTTCCCAAGTGGACTCTGGTATGCTCGGTTGGGGGGGGGGGGCGTGGGGCGGGGGCTTTGCTTTTTTTTTTTTTTTTAGATTTTATTTATTTGACAGAGAGAGAGAGAGACAGCAGAGAGAGGGAACACAAGCAAGGGGAGTGGGAGAGGGAGAAGCAGGCTTTCCGCTGAGCAGGGAACCTAATGTGGGACTCAGATCCCACGACCCTGGCATCATGCTCTGAGCCGGAGGCAGACGCTTAATGACTGAGCCACCCAGGCGCCCCGAGGCTCTGCATTATTAGCAGTCCCCCAGGGAATGCCCATGCTGCTGGTCCACAGACCACACTGTTGAAGTAATGAGGTCCTCGAACAAGAGGAAGGTCCTGCCATCTTTTACAGATGAGGAAACTGAGGCTCGGCTTGTGCAAATGGTGGTCCTCAGGGAGCACCGGGCTGCTCTCCCCTCCCCGACACAACTTCGTCCCTAGCCCTGGAGGCCACTGGTAGTGCCTGGGGCCGTCTGGGGATCTAGACGTGCTGGCATCCCTGCAGTCTTACTTTTGTACCCTCCTGACCCAGCTCAGGGAGAAGCCATGAGCCAGTCCATCCCCCTTATCAATGAAGAGAGGGCCAGAGCAGCTCCGTGTGAATCCAGAGCCTGGACTCTCCAACAGTGAACTTCTTGAGTTACCTAAATAAATTCTCTTCACTATGTGCTCTTCCTCATGACACAGTCTTGGAAGGAAGCTCATGTTCTGGTAGGTTCGTCAACACAGGGAATCCACAAAGCCCACCAGCCATGGCTTGAGAAACCTGGCAGCTCCAGGGAGGGTGTCTGCTGTCCCAAGCCCCACCTCAGCTGGTCCTTCTGCGGTGCTGAGGACCCCCGCCCACCACCTCTTACCTGAGCAGGTCTCCAGATCCGTCGCAAGGCCCATGACTCTGGCGCTGGCTTGTTGGTCGCTGGAGGCTTTCGAGAGTGGGGGGTCACTGCTGCAGCCACAGTGGGAGAACTTCTAGCTCTGGAAGGAGAGAACTTCTCAGCAGCTTTTTCCAGGATGTGGCTCCCCACCCAAGGATCAGACCTTTTATATTTACCGGACCGGATCCGGATCTGCTGAGTGAATTCCACCAGGAGCCGCAGGAACTGGCCCGGGGCAGCTAGCGGATCGCTTTGATGCTCAGGGTTATGTCAACAGAATTGTTGTCAGGTCACCACTGGGAGGCTGTTTTACCGAACAGACACCATTTCTCTCCACTCCAGCCACTTCCCACCCATTCTGTGCCTCAGTCTGCCCAGACTTCAACAAGAAAATGGATTTCTCAGGGCGCCTGGGTGACTCAGTGGGTTAAGCCTCTGCCTTGGGCTCAGGTCATGATCTCAGGGTCCTGGGATCGAGCCCCGCATAGGGCTCTTTGCTCAGCAAGGAGCCTGCTTCCTCCTCTCTCTCTGCCTGCCTCTATCCCTACTTGTGATCTCTCTCTCTCTCTCTCTGTCAGATAAATAAATAAATAAATAAATAAAGTTTTTAAAAAACAACAAAATAAAGAAAATGGATTTCTCACAACCCTGGATGCTGGGGCCAGATCAAGATGTTCACGGAATCTGTGTTTGGTGAGGACTCACCAGGGATCGGAAACGGCAGGGTCTTCATGGGGCAAAATGGGCAGGGACACTATCTGGAGTCCCTTGTATCTGGGCACCAACCTCTTCACGAGGACTCCATGCTCATGATCCAATCGTCTCCTAAAAGCGCCACCTCCAAACCCCACCACACTCGAGATTCCATTTCACTATATGAATTTGAGGAGGACACATTTATCGACAGCCTCTTTTAAATCAACCAACTGTTTTTATTGAAAAAAAAGTATTTACTTTATTATCACCATTTTTTAAGGGGAGTGAGGTTGACGTGCAATATTGTGTCAGTTTCAGGTGCCTGACAGAGACGTAATGATTTGACATTTACACATAGTAGGAAATGCTCACCGCGGGAAGTGTAGTTACCATCTGTCACGAAAAAAAGATTATTACAATATTATCAGCTACAGTCCCCATTCCCACACTGCACTTTTCATCTTTGTGACTTCTTCATTTTATTTTTAAATTACTATTATTGTTGCTTTAAGATTTTATTTCTTTATTTGAGAGAGAGAGAGCATGCGAGTGGGGGGAGGAACAGAGGGAGAGGGACAAGCAGACTCCATACAGAGCACAGAGCCTGATGAAGGGCTCGATCTCACGACCCTGAAAGCATGCCCTGAGCCGAAATCGAGTCAGCCGCTTAACCCCTGAAATCAAGACCCAGCCACCCAGACACCCTGACTTATTCATTTTAAAACTGAAAGTTTGTACCTCCTTATTTTTAATTAAATATTTTATTTTTAAGTGATTTCTACACCGAAGGTGGGGCTCAAATTCAGAACCCCAATACCAAAACTCACAACCCTGAGATCAAGAGGGATACATGCTCTAGCAACTGAGTCAGCCAGGCCCCCCAGTGTTGTAACTGGAAGTTTGTACCTCTTAATGCCCTTCACCTATTTTGCCTAACCCCCCCCCCCACCAACCAACCCTCTGACAACCACCAGTTTGTTCTCTGTATTGGTGAGTCTGTTTCAGTTTGTTTGCTCATTTGTTGGAAATATACTTTGAAATGAAAATCAGTATTGTTTCATTAAATGTAACGGTATCACCTCTGTACATTACCAGTAACTCTGCATGGCATAAGAATAGTGCTCCCCCAAAGATAGCCACGTCCTAGGCCCCAGAACCTGTGAACATGTTTCCTGACACAGCAAAAATGACTTCAAAAAGTGATTAAGGGCATTCCACTTCTAACATCAATTCTGATGTGTGTGTTTGATTTCTCCCCACACCAGCAAGCGATTAACTCTATTCTGACACTGTCTACCTAGAGTCAGCGAGAGTCTACAGATGAAGGGCTCATTCCCACATGACTGCCAATCCCCCCACTGCTCATGCTAATTGTAATCCCACACTGTCCTCTGTGATTCTGATTTCTAGATCAGAGCTTCCCATGACCCCCTCCTTATATGCTAGAGTGGCACACAGAAGTCAGTAAAACATTTTACTTACTAGATTACCAGGTTTGTTTGTTTTGTTTTGGTTTTTTTTTTTTTACGATTTTATTTATTTATTTGACACTGAGAGAAAGCACAAGCCTGCAGAGCAGTAGGCAGAGGGAGAGGGAGAAGCGGGCTCCCCACTGAGCAGAGAGCCTGGTACAGGGCTCGATCCCAGGACCCCGAGATTGTGACCTAAGCTGAAGGCAGATGCTAAACTGACTGAGCCACCCAGGCATTCCTAGGGTTCTGTTTTGTTTTGTTTATAGATTTTATTTATCTATTTGAGATAGAGTAGTAGCGAGAGAGATCACAGAGGGCAAGGGAGAAGGAGAAGCAGAGCACTGCTGAGCAGGCAGCCCGACACAGGGCTCAATCCCAGGACCCAGAAATCAGGACCTGAGTCAAAGCAGATGCTTAACTGACTGAACCAGCCAGATGCCCCTAGATTACCAGTTTATTATAAAAGTGTGCAACTCAGGAACAGCCAGGTGGAAGAGATGCACAGGGCAGAGGGTGGAGAAAGGGACGGAGCTTCTAACACTCTCTGAGCCCGCCATTCTTCCTGGATCTCCTCCACTCTGTTCACGGAGGATTAAATCATTACGCATTAGTGACTGAACTCCACCTCCAGCCCCTGCACCCTCCTTGACGTTGGTGGGTGGGGCTGAAAGTTCCAATTGGTTCCCCTGGCCACCAGGTGACCTAGGGTCTTTCTAAAAGCCAGGTAGGGGTTCCTGGGTGGCTCAATGGGTTAAAGCCTCTGTCTTTGGCTCAGGTCATGATCCCAGGGTCCTGGGATCGAGCCCAGCATCGAGCCCCGCATCACATCAGGCTCTCTGCTCAACAGGGAGCCTGCCTCCCTCCCTCTCTCTCTGCCTGCCTCTGCCTACTTGTGATCTCTGTCTGTCAAATAAATAAATAAAATCTTAAAAAAAAAAAAAATAAAAGCCAGCTCATGGGGCATCCCAGTGGCTTGGTCGGTGCAGTGTCTAGCTCTTGATTTCCGCTCAGGTCCTGATCTTGGAGCCCTGGGATTGGGCCCGTGTGGGGCTCTGTGCTCCGTGCAGAGTCTGCTTGTCCTTCTCCCTCTGTTCCTCCCCCTGCTCACGCTCTCTCTTTCTCTATCTCAAATTAACAAATAAAAATCTTAAAAAAAATTTTAAAAAAAAGTTACCTTGTTAATACATAACAAAAGGTGCCTTTTTTTTTGAAGAAAAGTAAATCATGTTTTACTTATTTTTTTTTTTAATTTTTTTTTTAAAAACTTGGATTTTACTTAAGGCATCATCGCTTCTTTTTTTTTTTTTAAGATTTTATTTATTTATTTGACAGAGATCACAAGTAGGCAGAGAGAGAGAGAGGAGGAAGCAGGCTCCCCACTGAGCAGAGAGCCTGATGTGGGGCTCAATCCCAGGACCCTGGGATCATGACCTGAGCTGAAGGCAGAGGCTTTAACCCACTGAGCCACCCAGGCGCCCCAAAGATGCCTTTAAAAAAAAAAGATTTCATTTATTCATTTGATAGAGCATAAGCAAAGGGAGTGGCAGGCAGAGGAAGAGGGAGAGGCAGGCTTCCCGCTGAGCAGGGACCCCAATGTGGGGCTCCATCCCAGGACCCTGGGATCATGACCTGAGCCAAAGGCAGAGGCTTAACCGACTGAGCCACCCAGGCACCCCCAAAAGACACCTTTCTTGCTCTCAGCACCTGGGCAGTTTGAAAGGGTGAGAGGAGCTCTATGCCAGGAATTGGACAAAGAGCAGATAACATATATTTCTTATGATAAATCACATTGTCACAGGTGTGCACTTTGAGAGGAAGAGGTTATCCTGAATTATTTGAGTGAGCACGATTCAATCACACTAGTCTTTAAAATTGGAACACATTTCCTGGCTGGGTTAGAAAGAGGTGTGTTGACGAAAAAAAGGCCAGAGACAGGACGTGAGACTCACCTGTCATTGCTGGCTTTGAAGAAGGTGTAAAGGGGCCATGAGCCCAGGAATTTGGGAGGCCTCTGTAAACTGGAAAAGGCAAGAAAAGGGATTTTTTTCCCCCAGGACCTTCATGGAGGAACCTCCAGCTAATAAGTGTGGAAAGAGTAATAGCATCAGAAATGCATCATTTGGGGCCCCTGGGTGGCTCAGTGGGTTAAAGTCTCTGCCTTTGGCTCAGGTCATGATCCCAGGGTCCTGGGATCGAGCCCCGAATCGGGCTGTCTGCTCAGCGGGGAGCCTGCTCCCTCTCCACTCTCTCTGCCTGCCTCTCTGCCAACTTGTGATCTGTGTCTGTCAAATAAATAAATAAAATATTTTTTTAAAAAAGGGAAATGCATCATTTTACAACCTCTAATGAAATCATTGATTCAGGCAAGGATCTTCAAAGGAAGGAACTGTTACATGGGAAGTTGATAGGAACTTTCCAAAAAAGGAATCGGGCTGCTCCCACCCAAACCCGCTATTGATCTTAGCACCACTGAGGGGGGGGGGGCCCTGATGTGACTCAGCAGCATCTAGAACATGCTCTTACCGAAAATGTTGGACCTGAATCTACTTACCCCTCTCCCTCGAATTTGCAGGAAATGGAAGGAGAGAAGCGTTATTCAGATGACACACGAGGAAGCAAACAGAGAAATCCAGAACGTGGGATGGTCTAGAGGATGTGATTCCAAGGAACATTCTTTAAAAAAAAAAAGTTTTATTAAAAAAGAAGATTTTGTTTTTAAAATCTTATATCATGGATACGTAAGAGTCGCGTGCTGAGCGATAGGAGGGTTGAATGACATACCTGGGGTTTGCTTTAAAATACTTCGGGGTGTGGAAGGGGGTGCCTGGATGGTGCACTTGGTTGGCCA